AAAGTTCCTTCTTTTTTTATAGCGGCATAATATTCCATTGTGTAGATGTTTTTTGTTTTTGTTTTTTTTTTTGTTTTTTTTTTATTGCTTAAAGTATTACAAAGGGTATTACATATGTGTCCATTTTATCCCCCCGCCCTAGACAGTCCCCTAGCCTCCCCTATCCCCCAATGTCTTATGTCCACTGGTTATGCTTATATGCATGCATACAAGTCCTTTAGTTGATCTCTTACCCCCCTACCTCCTGCCCCGCAACCCTCCCCGGCCTTCCTGCTGCAGTTTGACAATCTGTTTGAGGCAGCTCTGCCTCTGTATCTATTATTGTTCAAAAGTTTATAATGGTCTCTATTATCCATGAATGAGTGAGATCATGTGGTATTTTTCCTTCATTGACTGGCTTATTTCACTTAGCATAATGCTCTCCAGTTCCATCCATGACGTTGCAAATGGTAAGAGTTCCTTCCTTTTTAGAGCAGCATAGTATTCCATCGTGTAGATGTACCACAGTTTTCTAATCCATTCATCTACTGATGGGCACTTAGGCTGTTTCCAGATCTTAGCTATGGTGAATTGTGCTGCTATGAACATAGGGGTGCATATATCCTTTCTGATTGGTGTTTCTGATGTCTTGGGATACAGTCCTAGAAGTGGGATTAACTGGGTCAAATGGGAGTTCCATTTTTAACTTTTTGAGGAAACTCCATACTGTTTTCCACAGTGGCTGCACCAGTCTGCATTCTCACCAGCAGTGCAGGAGGGTTCCTTTTTCTCCACATCCTTGACAGCACTTGTTGATTTGTTGATGATAGCCATTCTGACAGGTTGAAATGGTATCTCATTGTTGTTTTGATTTTCATCTCTCGGATGATTAGTGACTTTGAGCATGTTTTCATATGTCTCTTGGCCTTCTGTATTTCCTCTTTTGAAAAGTGTCTATTTAGATCCTTTGCACATTTTTTGATTGGATCGTTTATCTTCCTTTTGTTAAGTTGTATGAGTTCTCTGTAAATTTTGGAGATTAAACCCTTATCGGAAATATCATTGGCAAATATATTCTCCCTGCAGTGAGCTTTCTTGTTGTTTTGTTGATGGTTTCTTTTGCTGTGCAGAAGCTTTTGATTTTGATGTAGTCCCATTTGTTTATTTTCTCCTTAGTCTTTCTTGCCCTAGGAGCTGTGTCTGTAAAGATATTGCTACAACATATGTCTGCTATTTTGCTGCCTATGGAGTCTTGTAGGATTTTATGGTTTCCCGTCTTACATTTAAGTCCTTTAGCCATTTTGAGTTTGTTTTTGTGTATGGTGTAAGTTGGTGGTCTAGTTTTGTTTTTTTTTGCATGTATCTGACCAAATTTCCCAACACCATTTATTGAAAAGACTGTCTTGACTCCATTGTATGCTCTTGCCTCCTTTGTCAAATATTAATTGAGCATAATGACTTGGGTCGATTTCTGGGTTCTCTGTTCTGTTCCATTGGTCTATATGTCTGTTCTTGTGCCAGTACCAGGCAGTTTTGAGAACCGTGGCTTGGTAATATATCTTGATATCTGGTATTGTGATCCCTCCTACTTTGTTCTTCTTTATCAAGATTGCTGTGGCTATTCAGGGTCTTTTTTTTTATTCCAGATGAATTTTTGGAGAGTTTGTTTTAGATCTTTGAAATATGCTGTTGGTATTTTAATGGGGATTGCATTGAATCTGTAGATTGCTTTGGGTAGTATGGACATTTTAATAATGTTGACTCTACCAATCCATGAACATGGTATGTTCTTCCATTTGTTTATGTCTTCCTCTACCTCTTTTTTCAATGTCCTGTAGTTTTCTGAGTACAGGTTTTTTACCTTCTTAGTTAAGTTTATCCCTAGGTATCTTAATTTTTTTGGTGCAATGGTAAATGGGATTTTTTTGTTTTGTTTCTATTTCTGTGAGTTCATTATTGGTGTATAAAAAGGCCATAGATTTCTGGGTATTAATTTTGTATCCTGCTACATTGCTGAATTCATTTATTAGGTCTAGTAGTTTTTTGATGGGGTCTTTGGGGTTTTCTATGTATCTAATAAATTAATTTTTGCCTGACTTACAAGTCTTAATGAGAAGCTATTTAAGTTACACATGACAGCTGAAGTCATCTAGCTAACATTCATTCTTAAATCTATTCTAGATTCTAACACTGAAAGTTTACTATTACATTTTTGTGTTTCCCCATATGTAAGTTCAAATTATGTTTTCACTTGTATAATATTCTGGTAAAATTGTACTGGAATGATACCAGAACCTAAGCTGGGGTCATATTTCCTCATCAGTTACATTCCTTAATGCAATAAGCCAGACACCTCGGGAAGCTCTTACTACCAACCTGGAGAGATGCAGAACATGGGGATGAGAAAGCCATTCTCCCAGGTATAGCAGCAAAAGTAGTCTAATAGTAGACTGATGTGAAGGGCAAGTAGGCTTTTAAATAGTGGATCTGGGTCTAAGTGAGTAAAGTTAAAACCCAGAACATCTATTCTGGCTAAAACGCATGATGATTCAAAACTCAAACCTTCATGGATGCACCTAAGGAATTTACTTGATCTAACTTCTCTAAATGGAAAATGTACCTCCTTTCCTCCCCGTGCCATACTATCTTCCCAATAGGCCTGTCCCAATAGTTTCTTTTACTCCCTTTGGAGCTGCCTGCTGTTCTTACAACCCTCTCTTTTGTGGCTTCCAAGGCTGATACGCAAAAAAAACCCCCTCCTTCAATCAGGTTTCCACTATCTTTTTTTTTTCTCCTCTCTTTTTCTTCCCCTTGGTTAACTTTGCCTTACTGTCTTTTACTTTGCCATTCAGGGAATGACAAAGGAAGATATTTCCCCTTCTATATTCATGGGCTGTTCTTTACTCCCTCCTCCACCCCTCCCCGCCCCCCCTGCTCATGATACATTCTCAGTAAGTCCTCAATAGGACGTGTCTGGATGTCCATATCACAGTGTGGGTACCTTGTGGGTAAAATTATCCACAGCTTAGTGGGGCTTGGGGACAAAAATCTATGTGACTCAATCACTTCTGTTTTATATTCTGTCAGCCCTGACCCTTGGAGTCCCTCTCTTTCTTGCCATTTGCCCTGCTGTCAAATGCAGGTCCAAGTCCAGCTCTCTCTTATAGCGCCTCCACTGCTTGGTGTCCAGTTCTACTCCCCCTGCTTTGGGTCAGAGTTTCCTTGCAGAACCATCTGCCCCTCTGCCGTGGGACTCAGTCCCTTGGGGATTTATGCAAAGCTGACTCTCCTTTCTCTCTGTCTAGACCTCGTCACACCCTCCACCTGCTCTCTGCCAGCTCCACACCTGTGGTGGCTGATCTGCCCAGTCTCCCCACCCAGCTCAGCTTACTCAGCTCACTCCTATCTCTTTCTCCAAGATCCAGAGCTGCAGTGCCCCAGACCACTTCGGGAGTCCATTCTTTGGCATCTTCAATTTGCACAGGTGGCCCCTAGCCCCTGGTTCCCTTTGGAGGTCCTTGTCCCCAGCCCTGGGCAGCCTGGAGAGCATATCCATTTGGCCCTCTGCCTGCTCATCAAGCAGGCAGCCCACACGTCCTACCTGGGAATGCCCCTTCAGGACTGTTTTCCTGACCTGGTTTACAGACACTGGCCTGGATTTGCTTCCAGTCCCATCCCCCAAGGTCATTCTCAGAAGCTTTTAGGAGAAAGGAAGGTCTGTATGTTCAAGTGACGATGCCTGCTCTGAACACCCTGCTATCTATCTGGCCACATTAGGAGGCAAGGGTTGGTTTATCAGTCTTGGCCAGGCTGCTTACCGCCTGACATAATCAGCACATGTGCACTTAAAGACAGGCCTCTGCTCTTGGGCAACATGTTTTAGGTAAAAAAAAAAAAAAAAAAAAAAAAAAAAAAAAGAGGGGGGCAGATAAAGGGATGCTATGGGGCTCACATGAAGTCACACTGCTGAAGACACTGTCTCACTGTACAATGTCCTGTATATGAGGCCACCATGGCTTTGTTTTCAGTCATGGATCCCATATTGGGTCAGTTTCCCCTCTTTGCACTGCTGGAAAGCTTAGTGCCAAACCTGAGGGTTGCCTGGGGATAGAATGAATCTGCATGGATTTTTATAACCTTACTCACCAGTCCATTTTATGTCTTCATCTCTATTTTCCACTTTCCTTTCCTATATACTTCTAATTTACATTTTCTTGCCTGCCATCTTAAACCCTTCCCAAATCAAGGTGGGACATAAATAAACAAACATATCAAATGAGGTAATTTTATGAAAAACTGAAACAGAATCTCTTTTATACAGTTGGTTAAAAGATAAATTTCTGGACAGCAATATCTACTGAACGTTATAATGCACATATTTATGACAAAGAAACATCAATTCCAGGAATGTATCCTACAGACATAGTCACACAAGTGTGCAATAGTTTGATTGCAGCATTGTTTGTAATAGAAAAAAAAGCAAATGTCCAGGAATGGCTAAATACATCATATTGCATGTATACAATGGCACATGTCACAACTGTTCAAAATGAGAGATGAGTTTACATGTTCTAACACCAAGGATGCCTCTAATGTATTAAGTGAAGAAGAAAGAAATTTGTGGTTGGTGCGGGGGAGGAGAGGAGGATATATTTGCTATTTAAACTTCAACCCCGCTACAAATAACATGAATACTAAGGAGAGCTTGCTGCTTGTTGCACGGTATAAACAAAATCATCCTCCTCAGCACAGAAGCTTTCTCATAATTCAAGGCAATATTAAATAACCACAACGAGGAAGCAGAATTGCAGGAGTGTCGGGAGCTACATTCCCTGAATTAGCACAAGCTACAAGATGAGAAGAGAGGTGGAGGGGTGGGGAGGCGGGTAAAGTAGAGGGAAGATGAGGGGGCTAGCCTGTGGAAAAGCTTTGGCAGTTGAGGGTTGTATAATGGGAATTTTGATGTGAAATGCAGTGAATTCTGTTTTCTTTCTGCCTCCCAAAGCCTCAGTAAAACCTACCTTTTTCCCAATACTTTGCAGTTGGATTTGTTTTGGAGGGACCATAATGAAGTGTTGCATCCAACCTAAGGGGCAGAGGTGGCCCAGAGTGATGAGCCCCATCTGAGTCACCAGCAGATAATCAGGTCCCATGTGCAATTGGTTCTGTGTACATTGGGAACTTCAGGTTGACGAGACTAGGAAAAGACCAGAATACAGGGAAAAGCACAATAAACCACAGCAACCCTATGCAAAAGCAATGGTCTGGCTAATATATACAGAAATTAGTTTCCATATCCAGGAAGACAAATCACAATTTTGGGGGGGAGGGGGGAAGAGGTGAAAAGATCACAGGCAAGAAGATAATTCCATAACTTAACATGTGCCAGAGTAGCCACTATTATATACATGACATATATACAATGCTAACTCTAACTACATTAGTTCTTATAGGAATATCTTCTTTATCTAAAAAACATAAAGAGATGTTGTCTTCATTAAAATTCCCCTTACTGCCCACTTCACCTCTGTGCACTTCAGCCCCTCACACAGAACTGCCCTAACATTTCTGTGGGTGGCTCTGGGTCTTCCAGACCCACCTCCTCTACAATCACTGCTTCCACATCCTGTGTGACCAACCCAGTGAGGACCTAATGGAGCAGGCCCCATGGATGGGCATCAGTGGCTCCCAAATCCCCAGGATGTTATGCAACCTATTGTGTGTGTACACTTCTCTGGGAAGGAGGTCATGGCTCTGACTCAAATAGCAGTGGGGTGATCCCCTAAATGCCCAGGACTCAGATTTAGAAGCCTGGTATGAAACAACTAAAAAAAAAAATCTCGTATTTCCAAGGCCTAGCACAAAGTGTGGTGAACAGGTTGTACTTAATAAAAAAAATAGATAAAAGCTTACAATGACTGAGTATTCAGAGTACACCAGACACTGAGGTGTTTATTATTATGATTCTTGTTTTACAGAAGAGAAAAAGGAAGTGCCAAGTGCATATCCTTGTTTGTAAAACTCTAAACTCTTGATGTTAACCACTCTCTATAGTTGTTGTTAAGTGAACAAATGCTAAATGAGGTGGCAGGTGGTGGCTACTAACTTCCACCTGCAGGTAAGAAAACTGGTATCATCATGGGGGGAGGGGAGTTGAGTAAAAAATAAGGTTACCCATCTTCCATTTAAGTGTGCTTTTCCTTATACTTCTCCAACTTTGTTTGAAATAGTCTTTATTCCTTATTAGACATGAAAGTGAAATCCTAAATGGAACTCATTTTACCTGTTCCTGTGTTCAGGACTCTGGCATGTATATGATAATATTGCTCATTAGTAGATCAAATTTCATACCAATAGGGACTGTGTCACCATGACATCTGAAGAAAGCAAAATCTTTCCTTTTCTGAGATCCTTCTCTTGTTAGGAGGGTTGGAGGTGGGGAGGTCCCAAACCCAAATGCCCACAGTGACTAGTAGGTTATGAAAGTGATATGAGTGGGCTAGTGGGAACAGGGGCTGTCAGGACAGGCGCCAAATCCAGCCTGAGGACAGATCTGCCCCTTGCCTCAGTCCATCAGGATCACTTGAGAATGTGGGTCCAGGATGACCAGATCTTAAGAATTGTAAGAGAAACCAGAAACATAGATCTTATGTGGAATTTCCTGAGGTTTAGATGTTGACAACTTATTCAAATACTTTTTAGAAATACAGTACAGGCCAAATGAAACACATCTTCTATGGCTGGGTGGGCCTGTGAGCCATCAGTTTGTAAACTCAGTTTTCATTTGGGGAACATCCAAAATCCTCTTCTGGCACCATCAGGCAGATAAAGGGTAGGGAGGAGAGGTGAAATTAATATTTTCAGTTTTGTTGCTTGTTAGCATCTTCACTGAAAGGTTTGGTGAGGGAAGTGGTTAAATTGTTTTTAGACTATCAGTGGATTTGAAATAAGCTATCCACGACCTGGAACTGAAAATCAAGAGCGGGCAGTAACAGTTGCATGTGCCTTTCTCCCTTAAGCAACTAGTTGACCTTTCTGTGGCACAAAGAATCGTTCTGGTGTGCACTGATACATGACTTCAGCATTCTTTAAGCTGGCTGTTAGCAGGCAGTGCTCTGTGCTGACTCAGCAGAAAAATCCACAACCCACATATCTTCTTGCATTGCACGTGCTTCTGCAGGGCAGCAAACCAGCTCCAGCAGTGAACACACGACTGTTTGCAGAACATCTTCGGATAGTTGCTATCCAGTGAGGAAGAGCTGCTCAGGAGTACAGAACCTCTCCTAATAGGGGAACTCTACCTCGCCGATTACTCTATCAAGGCTGTGCAGAACACTAAATAAATCTGGATTTATTCAGGGATCAGCTACTCTGGCACTCCAGCCTCCAGGGCCCTCAGCCTGCTTCCTGCACAGCACTGCCTCTGAGGCATTGATGGAGGAAGCCATGTGAAATCATAACTTAGACGATGAGACTGAGGCCTTTAAGAACTATAGTTCCCAGTTCAGCTCTAAGAACAGTATTTGGAGAAAACTTCCTCCAGCCTTCTTTTCTTTAAATACATTAGTGAAATGGATGCAGAATATTACTGTTTTGGGGAAATAATGCTAAACAAATGTTCTCTTCAAACTGAAGGTGTTGCATACAAGTTTAGATTGAAGAGAGATCTATGTTTGTGCATGAATAGAATTTTCCTACCTCACCAGCAAATTGAGGATTTTCCAGCCTTTTTTCTTTCAACAACATAAGATACCTAAGCCAACAGTAACAGAGTACTAAAGTATGGACAATACCAAATGTTATGTCTGGAGTGAAGCTGAGTTCTTCATCGGCTGCCAGACAAGCACATCTTAACTTTATAAGGAGAGCACATTCCCTGATTACGATAGTATTTAGCATCTCTAAACTGAAGTATTCCCAAACGTTTTCATGAAACATTTAAGTCCATTTTCAAACAGCACCTTCTAATTTTGTTAATCCTTTCCTTTCAAATTAACTTGATAGACTGTGCCTTTCAAAGTTTCAGGTTATCTCATATTTTTCAATACCCAGTTCCAACGTGTTCTAAGGACAACCCAATGACCACTGTCCAAACATTTGTGTCACTGTCCAAACACCTGTACTTTTCAGGTTTAAAAATGGGGGACCAAGATAAAATTCACATTTTAGTGTAAATCCCAAAGGAAGAATCCGTGTTTCATCTTTCCTTTTCTTTCCCACTTTTTCAATTCCTAAATATATAAGAACCCATATGTTAAACAGGGCCCAAGTAAGAATGGTTCTCACAGGGAACATACAGGCAGTAAATAATCAAGGGCCTTTTCTCTCCTGCAAACAAAAGTGGTTCTTTAAATAGAGAATTTAATTATATGTTAAACCGCTCTTCCAACACCTACTTCACACGTTTTTGTTTCTTGCACTGAAAATTAAGGTAAACTATGAAGGGGAGCTGAAGAAAAAGGTGTGTTTCCTCTGCGTAAGGAGCCAAGCTGCCCACGTATACCCGAGTTAAAGGTTGGATAGAATTCATTTTTGGTTTGGACTTTATTTTCAATTAGCCAAATAATGACAATTTATATTTTGCTCAAATTGAGATATAATTCACGTACCATACAATTCACCTATTTAAGTGAGTTTTAGCATATTCACAGAGCTGGGCAATCAACACTATAATCAATTTAGAACATTTGCATCACCCCCAAAAGAAATGCCATGTCGATTAGCAGTCACTCCCCACTCTTTTCTTCCCCAGCCCCTGGAAACCAGTAATCTACTTTCTTTTTTTTTTTTTTTTTTAATTAAATCTTTATTGTTCAGATTATTACATTTGTTCCTCTTTTTTTTCCCCCATAACTCCCCTCCTCCCAGTTCCCGCCCCACCCTCCGCCCTCACTCCCCACCCACTGTCCTCATCCATAGGTGCACGATTTTTGTCCAGTCTCTTCCCGCATCTCCCACACCCCTTTCCCCCCCAGGAATAGTCAGTCCATTCCCTTTCTATGTCCCTGATTCTATTATAATCAACAGTTCATTCTGTTCATCAGATTATTTATTCACTTGATTCTTAGATTCACTTGTTGATAGATGCATATTTGTTGTTCATAATTTGTATCTTTACCTTTTTCTTCCTCTTCCTCTTCTTAAAGGACACCTTTCAGCATTTCATATAATCCTGGTTTGGTGGTGATGAACTCCTTTAGCTTTTCCTTATCTGTGAAGCTCTTTATCTGACCTTCAATTCTGAATGATAGCTTTGCTGGATAAAGTAATCTTGGTTGTAGGTTCTTGGTATTCATCACTTTGAATATTTCTTGCCACTCCCTTCTGGCCTGCAAAGTTTCTGTTGAGAAACCAGCTGACAGTCGTATGGGTATTCCCTTGTAGGTAACTGAGTTTCTTTCTCTTGCAGTTTTTAAGATTCTCTCTTTATCTTTTGCTCTTGGCATTTTAATTATGATGTGTCTTGGTGTGGTCCTCTTTGGATTCCTTTTGTTTGGGGTTCTCCGCGCTTCTTGGACCTGTAAGTCCATTTCTTTCACCAGGTGGGGGAAGTTTTCTGTCATTATTTCTTCAGATAGGTTTTCAATATCTTGCTCTCTCTCATCTTCTGGCACCCCTATAATTTGGATGTTGGTACGCTTGAAGCTGTCCCAGAGGCTCCTTACACTATCCTCGCATTTTTGGATTCTTTTTTCATTTTGCTTTTCCGGTTGGGTGTTTTTTGCTTCCTCGCATTTCAAATCATTGACTTGATTCTTGCGCTCCTCTGGTCTGCTGTCGGGAGTCTGTATAATATTCGTTATTTCAGTCTGTGTATGCTTAATTTCTAGTTGGTTCCCCAATATAAGATCGAGGGTCTCATTAGTTTTCTTGTAGATCTCATTAAGTTTATCGGCGGCTTCTAAACAGTTCTTGAGAGACCTTAAAACTGTGGTTCTGAACTCTATATCTTCCATTGACAATTTTGTCCTGTTTCTTTGTCTCCGCATTTTGTTATGCTTCCTTGGTGCACCCCCTAGTGGTCTTTGTTCGCAGTCTTATAGTTAAATCTTGATTGTTGTAGCTAATTCCAGGGAGGGTTTGACCTCCAGGCCAAGTGGCTATGAGAATCAGCTGTGTCAGCAGTGAGAGAACTTCTGTCCTCTAGGGAAGTGCTAATCTAGCCTTTGCCTGAGGCTATCCGGCAAATGCCTGTGTGCAGGGCTTGGGCGGGGCGGGTCGCACAGGATCAACAGGGTGGGCTGGAGAGAGCAGTTATGGCGGCTCTCAGTCCTGTCCCCAGGGGCTCTGCCTCTCTGAGTCCCAGCACCCGCTGCAAAGCTCAGAGAGAAAGCTGCACTCGCTCTGACCGAAGCCAGACAGTCCCGCTTCTCCCGTTTGAGTCTGGGTCCCTAAAGACTCGCCCGGATCTGGAGCTCAGAGTCTGCGACTCCCTCCCGATTGAAAACGCCAACCGCGCCCTCCGCCGCCAGCCCGCTCCACGCACTCCGCACCTCCGAATTTGACTTCAGCACTGCGCCTCCTCTGAGTGTCCGTATGCGTTTCTCTTTCCTCCTAGTTGTAGGACTTCCACTCAGCCAGCGTTCCTGTGGTTCTGGGTGATGTCCCTTCCGTTTTTTGGTTTCACTTTTGAAGTAGTTATTCAAAGCAGCAAACTCCGGCGTTAACCTATGCCGCCATCTTGGTTCTCCCCTACTTTCTGTCTCTATGGATTTGCCTATTGTAGACACTCGATCTAAATGGTATCATATAAATGTGGCCTTTTGTCTGTTTTTTTTTTTCCACTTAGCATAATGTTTCCAAGATGTACACACGCACAAGAGTATTATCTGAATGCTCCAAAGGAACCTGGGTGCACTGTTCTTGCTATTTGCTTTCGCACCTTCTTCAGAGAGTCTGCATCACATCTTAATGCATTTGGGAAACTGAGCAAGTCCTATTGTCTCTCATCAGCAGTTTTCACTTGCCAGTGGACATCTCCACAGCAAGTTCTTATAACACCTCAGACTCAGCCTGCACAGTTTCCCTCTCCAAACAAAAGAGCTGGGGGGGAAAAATATTCCTTTTCACGTACTCCTTTTAGTTAAGGATAAAACCCCTACCCACGCTAACTTTAAAACCTAGTCATCTTTACTTCATTAAAGTCTAATTCATCCATCACTGTGCTAGACTCTCCTATGCCCCAGATCTTCTCCTGCCTGCCGGCCTCTGCACCCTCCAGTGACATTCCCTGGCCCAGACCCACATCACAGCCTGCCTGCTCAGCTCTGCCTGCTCAGCTCAGTCACCTCCTGCTCCAGTCTTTCCTGCACTGTGGCTGAGCCCTAAGCTGAATGAACTGCAGGGAACAACTCCATCTGGAGGGCAGGGATGGGGAAAGAAGAGCAGGTGATTTTGCTCGGAGCCATGCTGGGCCCTGGGATGACGGTGAGGCAAGCTATACTCTCAGTGCTAGAGGGGAAACTGAGTGCTTGTCAGCTCTTCCCTAGTGCTCTTCTCTGGGCCCCACCCATAGAGGTTCTGACTTATTCATTTTCAAAGTCACCAGAAGACTCTAATGTGCAGTTCCGGGATCTAAGAGCCTGCCTCAATAGCATGGGGTTAGTAGGACAAGCAAGGACAGAAGACCTGGGTGCCAACCTTGAATACCGAGGATAGCTGTGATACCTGGGACATGTTAACTAACTCTCTCCCCTTGATTTTGTCATATGTAGCCTGGGCTAAGTATACCTTCTTCATGAAAATGCTCTGAGTATTAATTAAATTTGACATGAAGTACAAAGTACCTGGCACAAAGAAGGCCCTGAGAAAGTGGGGGGTTGAGTGGGATACATATGCCTTGTTCTGCGTTGCTTTTGTCACACTGCTAAAACTGGGTGACAACTCAGAACCATTTTGTTTGTTTCCCACAAGGCCTCACATTAGGGTGACTCCTTTGATGCAAGGCAAAATGACTCAGCTGGCTGAGGGCACTGTGGACCTTACAACTCATCCTGACAGGTGCACAGCCAGGTCCCAACATTTTGCGATGCTTTAGTTTCTTACACTGTGGGAAGGAGCGGTGGTGCGTGAAAGCAGTATGGTGTGTGGAGGGACGCTGGATAGAAGGCAGGAAAGCTCAATGTGCTATGTGACAGGAGGAAAATTCCATTGTAACATATGAGTTTAGGTTGTTGTTGACACCCTATTCACATATGCAACTGATCATATTTTTTCTCCTCCCACAGGCCCATTAGATAGATTAAGCTGAGATACCTGGTAGCAGTAGGCTCTGAAATACTTTGCAAAGTCTCACTGATGATTCTTAACTGTAAAAAAGGCTTCTTGTGGAGTCAGCAGTGCATGCCTTCATTATCTTTCTTCTGCAGGAGGAGTGCTAGATTAAGAAACACATGGAGGAATCCGGTATCTGGATGGTGCACATACCCTCTCTCTGTCTGATCAGTGCACCTGGCACATCCCAGAGCCACTGCCTTCCTTAACGAGTGACACATTCCCTTCCCACGGAATCACATCCCTCAAAGGATCAGTAGCATCCTTGTGCCCTGAGGAATCCTGGAACTGTCTTCCCTCCAGGGAAGAGCTGGGGGAAAAAAAGAGGAATAAAGAAAAATTCCACACCAACATTAGAACCTCCCAGATGGCTTCGGTTTCCTAAGAGAGCTACTTATTTTTCAGTAATGAAGGGACAGATGATCCCTTCTGCAAGTGGCCTCGGAATAGGAGGGAAGGGGAGTACAAGAATCTGGCCTCTGAATAGGAGGGAAGGGGTGTACAAGAATCTGGCAGGGCCCTGGTGTCCCAGTCCCTATCTGAGGACAGGAACTAGCCCACTGCCCATGACCAGGCTTTCCTGAGTCATGAGGCCACAGGCTGGTCACTTCTTCAGCTCTGGATTCTGTACTGGAAACAGCAATGCAGCAGCTCAGAACAGACTTTAAGCAGGGATCTAAATATGGCAGGGCTTGAATTCTCTCGTTTGCATATCAGCAAAGGCTATCGGAGGAAGTGTCAGCAGGCTCAGAATGCAGACCTCGTGGCAAGCTAACTTTGGACTGGAATAGCAGTTTACTCAGGGCCCCAAATCCACCCTCACCGCCAACTTGATTTATGATGCTGGGGTCAGTCCACTGGGGCTCATATGGCTGAAGAGCCAGATCCCTCAGCTTACTTTCCAGCTGTGCCCCCTTCACATTGCAGACACTTTCGGGCAGCAAGTCAGAAGGAGCACGGGATGCAAGGGGTTCTCCTAGATGAGGCCCAAACAAAAAGAAAGCACTGGAAGTCTATGTCCTCTTATCTTTTATCTATGCCCAACTTCTTTTACATATTTGAACAGGGTTGGCTATTTTTTTCCCAATACTAAAATTGAAAAATTAGCCAGAAATGTAGAAGACTAAGAGAGAGAGAGACGTTATTAAAGTGAGGCTGAAGCAAGGTAAAACCTGCTCATGAACTAAAGCTGACTGTAATAATAGGACTGGAGGGAGGAGGGAGGTGGGTATTCTAATGTTAATGTGGAATCTGGCAGTTTTAGGGGTTTGGAGGGAAGACAGTGCCAGGATTCCTCAGGGCACAAGGATGCTACTTGTCCTTTGAGGGATGCGATTCCATGGGAAGAGAATGTGTCACTCATTAAGGAAGGCAGTGGCTCTGGGATGTGCCAGGTGCACTGATCAGACAGAGAGAGGGTAGAGAAAAACTTCCGGTGATTCTCTATATTCAGTATAGAAACTCTAGGATAAACCACACCAGAGTAAAGGTGCTTAGAAAATTAGGACAGGAACACCTTCTACGCCAGGACGGGGATGTGAAAAGGAGTAAGGAAAGCCAAGCAGTGGTTAGGTGCAGCCAAGGGCAGCACACAGAGAGAGCGTGCAGGGTAGGTGAAGCCCAGCAGCTCGGGGAAGGTGAACAGAAGAACCAGACAGGAAACAGGCTGCTGCTCAGGGTCTGCAGATCAATGCCAGAGCCCAGACCAGACCTCAAGTGAAAAGTGAAGGTGGTGGAAGCAAAGGGCCTCTGAGAGCCAGTCATGCTTCTTGACATTCCCGGGTCATAGGTCCCTTTTAAGACAACTAGAGAGCCACTCCAGAGAAAATGCATTTGTGTTCACATTATTCCACCTTTCCCTCTGGGGAGTCACAGGTCCCAAAAGCCAAGTCACAGACTCGAGATTAGGAACACAAGACCCAAAGGATGCTCCTCTGCTCTGAAATATGAGAAGTGATAACAGGAAATGTGTACTTAAAGGACTGCTTATTCCTTTAAACCTCTGGCAACCAAAGCGGAATAATATGAGACCTGGCCTGAGACAGTTCTGAATAATATACATCATTTGCAACAAAGATTAGTTAGGCATTTAAAGCTGCCAGTTTGTGCATGAGTCCAGTGGAAAGGCTGGGACCGGGAGGGCAGGAGGGAGGTCTCAGAGGCAGAGCTGTGGGGGGAAAAGAGGAATAAAGAAAAACTGGGAAAAGAGTATTTGGGAAGAAAACTGTCCCCCTATCCACTTCCAGGTAGTGGTGGGAGAAAGTTAATTCAAATAATGATGGGGCCTCACTTTGGGGGACTATTCTTAGCTTTTTGTCATGTATGTTTCATACTAAATTAAGACACACGGTATTTCTTTAAAAAAAAGAAAATAATATATTTGTGACAGTGACTCAGTACTATTTTTATTTTTAACAAGACATCATTACTTTTCATTTACTCCTTTAATTAAACCACAATTTGATTTTTGACAAGATGTGGAGATATGGGAGGGAAAGGACTGCAGCTCTGTTTGCTATTAGTAAATATGTGATAGGTTTAATTTGATGTTTATGTATGGATGAGTTTTTCGTGGTGGTAAGGAGGCTCTGGTTTTGAAAATACACGGTGGTTTCTGATTCGTAAACACACTTTTGCAGGGAGACAGAGCCTGACCTTAGGAGCATTTTTCATGCATGACTCTATTTGGTCCCTGGGTACGGAAGAAGCAAGGACACAGTAGGGTGGATTGACTGTCCAAGGAAACTTAACTTCCTATAAAAGAAACAGATAGTTTAGATCATTAGCCCAACATGCCCTGAGTGTGAGTCCATCGCAAGCATATCTAACAGTACTAGGATTTATAGAAGAGTGCTCATTGTCTAATGTTCCCCAGATGATGTACAGCATATGAAAACATATGCATAATTAATATACAGAATTAGGAGTCAAAAGATCTGGAATCAAGCAGATTCAGAAGCTGTACGGTACATGACCTCGGCAAATGATGTACCACTTCAGACAAAGCCCACGTGTCCTACCAAGTGTTCTAAAAATGCCTGCTTACTTCCCAACCCCACAAGTAGCATCAAATGTGAGCAGTGAATGAAATACCAGAAATTAAAGCATTTGAAATCTCTACAGTAACCTATTAAGTTATTCCATTGTTATACAAAGCTACAGAATTTTTGGAAAATGTAAGCATATTTAAAAAAAATTTTGAGTGCCTACTTTGGACAAAGCACTGTTCTAGGTATTCTGAATTACATAGGTGAATAAGCCCTTGAAAAAGCTTTGTTTATGATTTTAAAAATTAAAATAAGAAAGTTAAAGTTCAGATTGTAAGGCTTAAAATTCATATTTTGAAGATTTTTCAAATACTTCAAAGTCGAATGGACTTATATCCAAGCAAATAGGAGAATAATTTCATTTAGATAGAGAAATAAAATGATTAGTTGAAAAATTCTAAGTAAGTACAATGCAATAGATACTTAAGCATCAACATTGATAAATCTGTCTAGAGTAATACATAAAGCAAATACATTTGAGCTGAATCACGATTCTTTTTTTTTTTTTTTATCTCAATATGAATGCTGACCTCTGTTGACACACCAATGCTTTAGGAGAGGCACCTGCATGAGCAATCAGGTTCTCTGTAACAAATAAACTGTGTTTTCTTCTTGTAGAATATGGTGGAATGAGTACAAGCAATTGTCTCCCTAGAATATAATAAAATGATACTGAAAGAGGGAGGGACATAACAGTGAAAGGAATGAGAAAGGGACATCAGGGGAAGAAGACAGATTTTGACAAAGTTTTGGAGGTCAAGGACAGGATGGCAGAGAACAGAGTAGATGATTAATATTATGTGTCAATGTGGGTAGGCTATGGTGTCCCTTCTTTTGCACAAACACTAGTCTAGATGCTGTGAAGGTATTTTGTAGATGTGATTAACATTTAAGATTTTTGACTTTAAGTAAAAGAGGTTACCCTCCTTAATTTGGGTGGATGGGGGTGGGGGCGTGGTATGTAGGCTCATCTAATCAGTTGAAGGTTTTAAGAGCAAAAACCAAGGTTTACCAGAGAGGAAGATATAGGAGAAAACTTTGGGAAAGTGGGAGGGTGGGCATGAGCTGCCTGGCAATGTACCAGTAAACCAGTAAGACCCAAGGCTCACTGGGCAGCAGCAACAGAGACAGAGATTCTGAAAGAGAATGTAAAAGAGAGAGGTTCATGGGAGTCTGCCTCAGGTGCACTGGGCCTGGGAGTGCCCTTCGTTCTTTTCCTTATCCTCTGCCTTATGTCCACGTACTGTGCCAAACTTACTTGTGGGCAAATTATTGGGGACTCTTTATCTATTAAAATTTTTTAAACTGCCTGGAAATTATACTATATGTAAGACACTGACATTAGGAAAAGCTGGGTAAGGGATATACAGAAACACTCTATTATTTTTGGAACTTTTCTCTAGGTCTGAAATTAGTTAAATTGAACATAATTAAAGCATAGTGATTAATCACAAAAACAATATGTAATTATATATGTGTTTTCCGACGGTCTTAGGCGACCCTTGTGAAAGGTTCATTCGACCCCCAAAGGGGTCGTGACCCACAGGTTGGCGACCCACAGGTTGAGAACTGCTGCTCTAGAGTAAATCCCTCCCCTTAGGCATTTGGAGCCCCCACCCCATCCCCCACAGCCACAGAAACTCCTGACAGGAATCTAGCCCCTTCTCAGTGTTGATCCTAACATGAAACTACCAGGAGACAAGCCCCCCACAGCACCAATGGCCCATGCAGCCTTCCAATTCAGGGACAGCACAGAACAGGAAATCAGACCTACATACACAGCAACAGGGAAAACCCATACCAAGTATTAAGAAAAATCAACTCAGCCCTTTGTTCTTAAATATCGGTGGATAACCAAAGTTCACCTCCCCTCTTTAAAAACAAATTAGAAGCCCTACAAAGAAAAGCCAAGTAATTTAAACATGATAACTGACTCCTAAAGAAACAAATCATTCAGAAAACAAGAAAATTTTAAAAGTGAACTCAACTTTGTTTCCACTGGGATTATTAATATTTTCAACTAACAGAATGGAGAATCAAGATGTACTATATAAACAGATGGAATAATAAATATAGGTTTAAAACTATTATTTTTAAAGTACAAAGATTAGCAATAGGATAATTAAAAGTAACCATCAATTTGGGAAGGGAGAAGGGTAATGGAAGTGAACAAATAGAAAAGGTCAACAGATAATTGACACAATTAAAAAAAAATAGCAATGAAAAGATCAAGCAAGGAATCACCTGAGCATCCATTACCAGAGAGCGGTGTTGTCTTGGGAAGGGGGTGATGGGGGGTGGGAGGAAAGCATGCATGGCATTTGTGTGGTATTTTATTTTTATTTATTTGTGTATCATTTTCACAAAAGCTGAAAAGGAGATAAAGAAAAAAAGTTTCAAAAATATTCTTTCAGAAATGAGATTTTTCTTTTTAAATGTAGGCAACTTCCACTGACATCACCAACAAACTTCACTGAAGAAGAAGAAAACCTATAATAATAGGACTAAAGGGAAACAATTTCAAATTTGGTAGAGGCTCAAGCAGCAAGACAATTTGGAAATTTCTGAATTGTTTCCTTTGTCAGAAAGCAAAGAAAGTTTTTAAAAAACACTTTAGTAACCTCTCCCCATCCCCCATACACTGTGGATCTTGTCAGTATGTGAGTGGCAGTCCACTGTAAATCTCAGTGTAAAAATAGACCACATGCTTCGTGAGCTGGGGCCTTTCCATGGCTGGGGAGTGAGATTTGTGGAGTGTTCCAGTACTATTGTGAGCTAGCAAACTGTAAATTGTAACACACGTGGAGGAAAGGAATGTTTTACTGATAGCACCAGTATGAATATATTAATTACAACACTTAGAGCCCATCAATGATAATTATGAACAGCTTCCTATTATATTATGCTCTGATCCTTAGTGTTTTCTGCAATAATAGCAACTTGCCTTTATAAGAATGAAGTTTAGCAGCATGATGACTTCTATTATTATGTTTTCTTCTCCCTACATTCATTTTTACTGTAATGTTTTCCTTGGCAAATGTATTCCTTGTCCTGATAAAATGTCTAGCTTTGTGAACTTGCCATATGCCTAACAAGCAAGAGTCCCAAAGATATTTCCATGTACTCACTGCCTCTAGGATTTGAAATAGGGTCTGCCAACTGGGTCTTCCTTGGGCCACATGAAATATATGAAGTTGAGCAATTTACTGGAGCTGCAAACACTGGCAGCTTTAGGGAAACAATTTACCAGACAATAAAAGAGAAAGCCATCCTGTGGGTTTAGTGAATGCCGAGTGAACAGTACAGCCCCAGGGTATACAGTACGATCAAAACCTGTGATTATCCCCCAACACCACCACCCCAACTTTTCTTATGTTCTTACATTCTGATAGCTCAATCTAAAAAGTTCACCTGCCATCAAATCTGCAGCTGGAAACAAAACGCACCTCTTCCCATCAAATCTGCAGCTGGAAACAAAACGCACCTCTTCCTCTTGATACTACAGGTATCGTGTCCATTGGTCTTTACTAATCTGTCCAAATTGGCATCATAAGAAGAATGTCAAATCAGCCTGAAACACAAGACCCCTCTCCCCGACCCCCAAACCCCTAATGATATCGCAAAGCCTTCCATAACACCTCCGAGGACTCGAGCTCAGGGAAGGAAGAAAAGGGAGCTTGTAGCTCTGTGGCTGATAGGCAGGCACTGAATGGACATTTCCCTGAAGGAAAATCAGACAGAAAATAATCATTTTATATTTGCTTTCCAATCTCTTTCCTATTTTATTAAAGTGGAGTTGTGAGTGAAATATGAAAACCCCATTCAGTTCAGTGCCCTTGGCTGAAAGTTTTCCTTAGTCAGGATCATTCAGTTAGTTCGTACTTGAATACTGTGAGTAACCGGTTCCTGAAGGTTACTGGCCGAATTTCCAGGTCAGGGTGCAGATATGGTTACCACAGAACTCTGAAGGTTACCAAAGGGCATTAGAGGGCCACACATCATATAATAGTTTTTTTCCTTCCTGTTTTTGATACCCAGGTGATTCTAAGGCAGACCACCATGACTCATGAGGCCATCAGAGGACAAGGCCACCAACCCAAATAGCCTTTGAACTGATCTTCCCTGTTGTGTATAAAGGTGCTAATTGCAGCAATAGTCACAGGGCACAGTCACATCTCTCCTAAATTAGGGCTGAGGTTCCAAAGCCAGGTAGGTGTAGAGGACAAATCCATAATCTCCTATTTCAACCATAGGGAATCGAGATGATAAGAAGCCTATGAGTAAAGTATCTCCAATGATCAGAATTTGAAAGCATTTAAAAGAAATCAGTTATTAGGCAACTGAGAATATGAATAAAACTTAGAAATATCACCCTTAAAAGATGTGCCATCTTCAGGTTCCCAATATTTGATATTATCAGATGCCATCAGCACCACAACACATGACTGCCTGAATGGCCTGGGGAATGACTTTGTGTCCTAGTAGATTGCTGAGCTTATCTGCAAAGCTGCCATAATCTCCCCTGAATATCAGGGCAGAGTCTTGCCAAACAGCTACACACTCACTTTAATCATTTCAGGCAGAAAAAAAGTTCTGTATATAAACAAAAAGTTTAACCCATTGAGATAGGGTCTGCATCCCTATTCCATGCCTCTCCCTTGCGTTCAATGCACCCATAGGC